ATCGATGATCAAAAAATTATCTTCCGGTTGGGTTTTGAGTTTCTTTCTGAGTTGGTTAATGGGTTTTCTTCAGGATAAGCAATGGGAAGCTGTTGATCAGGAATGGATGAGTTGCTTAAGAAATGAGAAGCTGGAGAATATTCTTCTTATTCCGTCCGGTTGTGTCCAGGTAAAGTTCTTGACTTGTCTACACGATTGAGAATTTGTGCTTGAAAGAGATAATTGGTTTTTATCTGAGAAAATAGACAAACAGGTATTTTCTTGGTTATGGTTACTTCACAGTTGACATATTTAGCTGTATCTTAGATCTTAATCTTGGTCAGAGGTTTTAGTTGAGTTGATTCTGTGTTTTTGGATTTGATTGTTAGGATCACTGGCCTGCTTCATTCAAGGAATTTGTTCACACGCTGAAGTCTCTATCGTTTCCTAGAGAGCAAGCGGATTTACAAGCGGTATTTTATACTCTGCATTAGATTTTATAATTCTTCTAGCTATAAATGCCCTTGCATTTTCTCCATGTTTGCTTCCTCGGAGAGTGTATGAATACCGAATGGTGTAATGTATCTCTTACCTGTTGTACCTTATTAGGATTGTATTCTAGATTCTGGCACCGCTTAATCGTTTCTCACTGTTCGCAGATACTCGCAGATGTGGATATGGCACCGCTTAGCACCGTTCTTTCACAGGGCATGAATATAAAGAAAAAACATGAGGTACAGTCGACAGTTTCTTTCATTGTTGTCTACTTTTGTTAGGACCTTCATTTAGTGTGCAGCTTGTTTTTCCATTTGGTGCCCAACCTCAATCCAAGAAACTTAAAACGAAAAGAGAATATTTAATGGTTTGTAAGTGTTCAAGTCAAACCCGGCAAATTCATTTGTCATTTCACATGTAAAATAGAAAATTTTAAGCTGTGATGATCACCAAAAGCTCATAGCATTTATATAAACTTCCTTACGAAACCTATGCTTTAGTTTCAATGTAAGTGTGTCTGTTAAGCGTATATTCATGTAATGTACCTTTTACTCGCCACTTGATTTGAATGGATCTGTAAGTCACGTATTGGGGTATCATGCAGGTTGAAGTTCTTTCCTCTGTTGTTAGCTCAGTTGTTCACAGTGTTGGAAATCCTACTGTTGTGGATGTCGGTGCTGGCCAGGTATATTCACCCCCTTTCTCAGGTTTACCTATCAATCTTGATTGCATGGTTATTTTTGTTGCTAAATTCCCTTTCTGGTTGTTGAAGGAAATTTTCGACTGATGATTTTTGCTTTTATATTTGAGTTTTAGCAACTTTGTAGTATATAGTTTTCCTCAAGTGTGTTAAATAACATCATTGGCTAATGTTTTGTTCACTTGTGTCACTTGTTAAAATATCATTTCAGGGTTATCTAGCGCAGGTGCTATCTTTCCAATATAAGCACTCAGTGGTTGCAATTGATTCTTCCTCTCATCATGGAAAGGTAACAGATGCACGTGCAGCACGTATCAGAAAACATTTTGCAGCACAGATGCGTAAATCTGGGTAAGGGGTTAGCACATCATAAATTTATTTAAAATGTTTACTAAGTAACAGATGTCGATTTCATTTTTAGCTTGAAAAGTCGCTCATTGTTTTCGTTATATTCTTGGTGCGTTCTGGTCTTTTATACTTGTTGATGCTACTTAACCTCTTCTTTGTTAGTTCAGGAAACAAGTGCCCAGATGTTCCAGTGACGATTACATGCCGTGTATTATCCACAGAGATGTTGAAAGCCTTGACCAATGTTCCTCTGGAGAAAAATGACTTGGATTTAAATGCAAGTGCATTGAATGAAGGTCCCAGGAGATCACAATCATCAAGTGATGGAAACCGTTCTTCTTCACTTGTTCTTGCTGGCCTTCATGCATGCGGGGATCTATCTGTTACGATGCTAAGGTTAGACTGAACGCCCGCTGCAGTTGTTTCATCCACGGTTTTTTCAATCTTCTGAACACATTATTAGTTTGGTCCTGATTGCTATGTTAGACCGTAAAAGCTGAAACAGTATGCAACTTGATCTTCATCAGGACTTTTTTGGAGTGCGAAGAAGTTAAAGCAGTAGTAAGCATTGGCTGCTGTTACAACTTATTATCTGAAAAAAGTAGTGAGAATTCTTGTTCTCAATGTGCTTTTCCGATGAGCGCTGGTCTCAGATCCTTGGGATTTTCACTTGGCAAAAATGCGCGTGATCTAGCTTGTCAGGTATAGTCCATCACTGTATCTGTCTTGAATAATCCAGCATTGTTGTTTTAATGTTTCATCTCCGTAGTCTTCTTGGGTAAAACAAATTCATGTGTTTCCTCAGAGTGCTGAGAGATGGAGCAGCTTAGGAGAAGATGCTGGTCTGCAGAATTTTGAGTTGCATTCTTTTCGTGCTGCTTTCCAAATGGTGAAAAGACTTTCTTTTTTTTTTCTTTCTCCCTAGATCTGTGTTTATTGAGTCTGAATTTATAGCGATCATCTCTGACAATTAACAACATATTCACTCTTTGAAGGTTCTGTCAAAACATTATCCAGAGGTTTTGGCGACAAGTCCGACCATTGGGCGCCAAGGGAAGGCATTCCGTCGTCAACAGCAAAGAAAATCCCTCGGAACTCAAGCAGCAGTAGATACAACTAGGAAAGGTCAGGATTATGTTTGATTAGATTCTTTTAATAGGTAAGAGTGTAAGACCAAGATCAGTTCTATAAATTCACTGCAGACACCGATGACAATAAACCCATGAACCAAGATCAGTTCTATAAATTCACTGCAGACACCGATGACAATAAACCCATGAAGCAGACAAACTCGAATTCCGACACTTGTTCTTCTTTCAAGAAGTTTTGCCTGTCAGCGTTTTCCCGCCTGAATCTAGAACATCCTCAAGATCTCGACCTGGGAGCCACATGGAATGAAGCTGATGCATTCACTGTAAGCTAATCTCTCTCTCAATCAATTTATCTTTGATCCCATCAATCAATCGGATTCTCATAGATTGATGGAAAAAAAATGCAGGAACTGATAGGGCCTTACTGGTCTATCCGAGCTGCATTAGGACCAGTGCTTGAGACATTGATCTTGCTAGATAGACTTATGTTTCTCCAAGAACAAGGCGACTCCATTGAAGTTGTTATGATTCCCATCTTCGATCCCATCATCTCACCTCGGAATGTTGCCATTATTGCTAAAAGGCTTTGACCCTAAACCTTTAAAAAAACTCTCTTTTGATCCTTTTAAAAGCTTTCTAAAAGCTTTGACTTTTTTTTAATGCATAGTATTTGGTTTCATTTATTAAACACCACTGAGCAGTGAAGAGATAAATCACTTGAAGAGTTAATACAATTCTGC